TGACAGACGAATTCGCAAGCATGAAACATTCACCCGATCACGTCATCCATTCCATTTCCCCGTCATTGTCTGTTTATCATCAGCGAATCATAAAAAAAAAGATGTTCAATGACTCAACACCAAAAAGTTTTAAGAAAAACAAGTAAAAAAATAGCGCGCGGCTGAAATTTCCAGTGAAAAACAAGCCGAAAATAAAAAAAAACAATTCAGTCATTCGACGTCACCAAGAATTGAATAAAGAAACAATCACCTGGTTAAATATACATCCATGTATGGAACTAACAGAACCCGAAAAAAAAGAAATATAAAGAAAGAATTATTGTAAACATCACCGGAGCCGCACACGTTAAATGACACACAAAGTGCAAAGAACTTTATTATGTGATTCTGTTATTTTGTTGTTGTTGCTTGCTTGCAGTTCCTTTCTTTTCTTACTTCATTTAAACAATTAGCGATTGCCATTCCAATGGGAATTTCAAGCAATAATAATAATAATAAGAACTCTGCCTCGTGTGTATAATTCTCTGTGCATTGCACTCACCTTCTTTCTTTCTTTCTCTGACGTTTCTCGTACACACGTTTTGCTACTCAGAAAGGAGTTCAAAGAACTCGCAAAAAAAATAAAATAAGAAGTAACAGAAAAAAGAATATTTCGTCGTATTTGTGCACACAAAATGCATTTCTTTTTCGAATTATACGTACAACTAATATTGCGTGTAACGGGATCAAAGCTTCTTCTCAGGCTTTTACAAATTACTTGGCGCTGACGAGCACGTAAGAATGAGTTCTTGCGAAAAGCATAATCGGACGAGGGCAATGACAAATGCATTTCTTTTTTAGCACACATTAAGGTTGATGAAGGAAACACGTGGCGAGCCCTGTGTACTTTTAGGGGTTTGAAGTGTTAAATTTTTTTTTAGTGGAAGTAGTAATCCAGATGGGGTCTGCTGAGTACGACGCTTGCCACTTTTTTCTTCAAGATTTTGATAGGTTTCTGCAAGAATTTAAGGATTAATTGAATGTTAAAAGAGAAAAACTTTTCGAGGTGGGAGGAAAAATCATCAAAATTGCAATAAATAGTGAAATAATTCTTTTTCTGGATCAAAAAGGAGCTTCAGATGTTAGTTTAGCTCTCTTGAAACAATAGATATTAAAATAAGAAGTTAAACAGCAACCCCTGGAAAAATGCGCCTTAAACACCAACCAGAAGTATCATCCTTACTTGCCAAAATTTTGTTTCTCCACATTTCAGTAATCATTGCCTCGTGTGTTTGCAACTTCTTACAAAAAAAAAATAATTCGAGAGCATATGTCAATGAAATTGTTTCTCCACTTTATCCACAAACAGCACACAACGGAATTCTTCCAATTTTTCTTTATTTAATTTTTTTTTTTTTGGAGAATATTTGTGGAATAATAAAATTATTTATTGAGGAAATGCATGCAGGGCAGAATAAAACGGGATGAGACATATGAGAACATATACACAAAAAAAAAGTTCTCAATTCTTATTTTATTATTATTTAAATTTGCACAGACGTAAAGTGAGAAAATTTATGAATATTGAACGAATTAATTGCTGAAAATGCTTTATTTTTTGAGACTTAACATGGAAAGAAAGGCAATTTAAATGGTAAATTGGAGGAAGAGATAAAATTATTGTTGGACTTGTTTTTGGTTGAATTGAGATCAAATGTTGAGTTATTTATGAGATTTGCAATTAATGGGGGTTAATGGTTGTTCGAATTGCTGGTTTTTGGGAGATGTGGTGTGATATGGAGAATCATATTGAGGATTTGTCAGAATTATTTCGCATATTTTTTGCATCGGTGGCTTAGTGGCTTCTTAGGTTGACTTAGATAGCAACCTAGAGGCCGTAGGTTCGAGCCTCAGTCAAGCCAATCCTTTTTTAATAGAATCAATTATTTTTTACAACAAATCGACCAACTGACTCACAAAAAAAGCTAAAATTCCTTCCTTATTGCACATTTTATCGATAACAAAACCTCAAATCACCTTCCAAAAATACCATAAATTTCCCCATAATCACTCAAGTTCTTTATCATTTCACCCATAAAAAAATTAGCCGCATTATTGCAGGAAATGTGAGAAATAACATTGAACATCGAGCCATAAAAAAAATTATTTTTTTTCGACAAAAAGTCGCTGATAACAAGCCAAGCTGTCGATAATACAACAAAAAAAAAAGTTTTGACAATAATAACCTTTAAGTTGAAAAAAAATTGGCACATGTTGATTAAACGTCAATCAAGCACTCAAAGGTGCAATGAACTCTTCCTTTTTTTTTGTGTGTTTCATTTGATATCAAAAAACACATTGTGACGATAAACAGCCGGGCAAGTGTTGTTTGTCACTATCAAATATTTTTTTCGTTATCAAAAAATGTGTGTCAGGTTGAAGAAGAATAAAATAATTTTTTTTAATTAAATTGTCGTGGGAATTTTAGTCCGTGATTGATAAGGTTGACTGGGGTGAATGTACTCTCGAGCGGATGGTTTAAAACGTGACGATAAGGCGGGCTTTTGTGGGATTTCGGACAGATTTGTGAGATGTCTTGTGGGTTGAGTGAAGGAAATTTATGTTGAGTGAGGAAAAGCACGTAGGAAAATGTCTTGGAATTGCTGTTAAAGCTCATGTTCTGATGGTTTGAGCTTTTCATAAGAATTTTCAGGATTAGAGTCACAACTGTCACTTCCAGGACGGGTTTTGATCTGTTCTAAGCCACAAGCAAAATTAGAGGAATCATGAGAGTCAGATCACCTTACCCAGTAACCGTCTCTAAACCAGGAAGTGCTTAACTAAGCATCTATTAAGTAGTAAAATTTTTCTCGCATCTAGAAGAACTCACGCTTAAAATGCGGAACACAAACTTGCATGAAGTTGATAATTAAAACTCATTAATTACGTCAGCATCTCCAAGATGAGCTCATCTACCTGTTAAACACTGAGTTACTCAGAATTCTAACAAGGAAGTCATTCATCCTAGAATGCAAATCAGGGTTGTTGAACTCTAAAAGCAGTCCTTAAACTTCCTCAAAGAACAATCCAATCAAAATTCCATCGAATGCCACTAACATGCAACATTTTACGACATTTTAATTCGCGATTGTATAATAAACAAATTGAAATGCTTCATAAAATTCTCGAGCTTACGGTACAAATGCTAATACTTTACGATCCTTTTTTTTACGATTACGTTAATGATGAGTAAGTAAGAAGGAAGAGATGAGGAAGAAATGTGGTGCACTTGAATGTTTTATGGTGAAATTAAAGAAGTAATTGAGGAGATTAATGGAGTTGGTGAGTGTGTTAAGATGGAGATTTAGAGTTATTAAGGTTGAACGCAGTCGTTATTTATTCATTATTGTTATTTTATGGGTCAGTTGAGTGCAATTTGAACTTGACTTGGGTTTGGTGGGTCTATATGGAGCGTAGACAAGAGTAGATTGAAGTGAGATTTTTGACAGGGATACAATGAGACCTTGCTAAACCAATCTGATTATTATTAGGTTTAAGAAGCTCAAATTGAGTTTTGTAGCTTGGATTAATTTTAAAGAGCCAAAAGCAAATCTTATTACCTCATATTGGGTACTAAGACTGTCAAATTAAAGGCTTTAGATACAAATTGATCTTTAGGAAGCAGAGTTAAGTCATTTTATGGATAAAACTAAGTTCTATTCTTTCGAACAGCTGTGGTTGGTCATGATGTAAGATCTGATCTCTTTGGATGATCATATCCGAATAGCACACGTCGGTTAATCAAATAGAAATCCAGCACTAAGAAGGCGTGACACTGGAAAGAAGCTGGACTCAAATCGAATCCAGCACCATGCCTGAGTTAAGCTAGTTTTCTATTCGATTCTGTTCAATCTTCTATTCGATTGACCGACTTGTGCTATTCGGGATACGGTGCATTAAGTTCCTTGACTTGAATTAAACATTAAGACCAAAAGGCAGCTACAAAAAAGTAAAATTAAATTGAACTGAGCCCGAAAGTCTAAAACAAAGGAGACTATAGCTAAAAACTCACATTGACTCATCAGAAACTTTACAAATTTTATCAATTTAAGTCTCAAAAAATTCCATCTTTTCTTCATCTTCCCGCTGACTCATCTCAAACATTTCCAAGAACTCAACTCGTTCGATCTTCTTTCTGTTCTTCTTATTAACATCATCATTTCTTAAAAACATTATTTTTATGTCTGTTCTGGTTGTCAATTCCTTCTAGAATGTTATTTCATTTCGCACTCAATCCAAAAACCGTTAAGGCAAATTTCACTTCAACTGTGACAAAAATAACTGTTGCAAATATTTGCTAAATAAAACATCTTCGTTCCCACACTCTCCAATTATGCTGCACATAAAAAAAAACTTGCACTCAATGACGCATGAGAAAAATCACAAGAATTTCAATTTTTAAGCGCAAAAAGCGAGCATATGACGCATAACTTATGACACAATTTTGAAGGATTTCCATTGAAATGTTGTTGAACTTTTTGTATATTTAACTTTTTTTTTTCATAACTCTATGCTGCAATGTGTGCTGCTTTTTGTTGTTTAGTCTCTCTAATAATTTTTTTTTTCGATTGCTATTTGAAATGAGCAATGAACGAGCGCAGCACAGACTCGACTCTTTTTTTCTTTTGTAGGTTTTGATTTTGTAATTATTTCAAGGAATTCTGGGTTTAAAGTTGTCGTGCAGTAAGTGCCATTGAGCCTTGAAATGGATTTTTTTTTTGTGATATTTAGATTAGATGATTGAAAAGGTGCACATTTGAAGGAGGGATTGACAGGTTTTTGGGGGTTATGGTGCTGATTTATGTTGAAAATGAGGAGATGCTTTTGTGAGTTTGACTCGAATTTGGCATTCAAGTTTTGACATTTTTGAATGAATCAACAATTGTTGAATGTTATAAGCCTTTTAAATCCGAATTCATAAGAATTCTTACTCAACAACCCCACTTTGAAGGTTCGCTTACCTAAAATTTGATATATTATTTTCCTCAAACCCTAAAACTCCTCCAATCCTGCTTTCTTTGTTCCCCAAACTCAACAACAATCGCATTAAAATCAAAATAATCACACAACAAAATTTCCAACTCATCAATTTTATTTTAAAATTTACATTTTTATAGAAACAAAATAAATAATTCCAATTTTTTCGCCTGAATTGCAATAAAAAAAAATTTTTCATCACAATTTCGTGAGCTCAAAACCTCAATTTTTCATCATTCATGATGAGTTCACAAACAATATGAATATGAGTAGCTTTTTAATAATGAACATGGAATTGATGTTACTTGATGGTGACTTTGTTTTTAATTTTTATATGTGATTAAAATGATTTGTTGTTAAAAAGTGGGGTTAAATTATGTCTGATGAGCTAAATTGAGAATTTTGTGCTGGTTTTTTTGTTACTTTAAGGATTTAAATTTAAGAATTTGTATGAAATTATTAAAACTTTTTTAATGTGTCTAGAGCGCATTTTAAATTTTTTTAAGGCTATGTTAAATTTCTACAAACAGTTGCTATCTTTCAATAATACTGCATCAATACATTTGTAAAATTATCGAAATTTGATGAAAATTAAAAGATTTTTATTTTTTTTTCTCCACTTCAAAAAGTATTTTGCAAAATTTTTGAGGTTATCAATGATTTTTGTCAAAACTTAATGTTTCAAAATGAAGAAAAAAATAGCAAAAGATTTTCGGCAGCTATTTGAAGGTATTTTGATCATTCAAATAATTTTAGCAACGGTTTAAGTTTAAAAAATTTCAAAATGGTGGATCTGTAAAGTCAAAATTTTTGCCCTGATTTCTTCAATATTGCATCAAATACTCAATCTAGTCAATATAAAAAATAAATTAACTTAGTTCTCAATAGAAACTCTAAAACTTTTACAACAAATTCCACAATACTATCCAATTTGTCCCACTTATTTTTTCTATGCAAAAATTTTCAAACAACACAAAGCAAAAAGTACAGAAAAGAAAAGAAAAAAAAGTACTCCAAAGTCCATGAAATATGCAATAATATGCAATTCAAAGTAGCAACAGAGCAAATTGCAATTGCACATGAATAAAAATGTGTATGTACAGTTTGAATATAAAAAAAAATTGCATAACGCGTGTATTGCACATGAAATTTATGGTGAGGCACATGCATAAGCTTGAGCTCCTCTCGCACAATTGTTTCTGTGTGTGTTAGTGTCTCTCACTTTGCACACACGGTCACAGTGGAGCGATGACTTCGAAATAATAAAACTTTTTTTTTATTTTAAATTAAAGTCGATATTTTTTTTTACGGCGCGACGAACTCAAAGTGGGTCAGTCGATGATGTCAGGGATCTTTTTCCTCTTTTTCTCTCTACGCGCTCTGCTCTGATGTGTATTTTCTGTTCACATCATCATCATTATTGGTACAATAGTTATAGGATTTTTTTTTGTACATGTTTGTTATGTTATTATCGTACGACTTCTTCTTTTTTATTCGTCTTATTGTGACGAATTTCTACTTGACACTTTTTTTTGCAGCTATGTCTTTATGTATGGTGTGGGTTGTGTGCGATAAAGGCCTCAATTTTTATTTAAGTCATGTGACTTTGCGTTTGGTTTGATAAAAGAAAATTAAAAAAAACGGAAATTCTTGATGATTTTGCGATGAGAATTTAATTTGATTGGCTGAATGTGGGATGTGTGCATGTGTGTGGGTAGACTGTGGGGGATGTGAGATGATATTTTTAAGGATTTTTATGTGATTCGGAAGCTTTCGTTAGTCAAATTTTTATTGATTTTAAATTGTTCCTTTAAAATTTTAAACTTTTTTCATATTTTTAAATTAATTTAAATTAAAAAAATAAAATTTGAACAAAAATCCTTGAAATTCCGTTCATTTTTGATCCCAATTCTCGACATATCAACGACATTCATAAAGAATAATTTAAATTAAATCTCACAATCACATTCCATAGTGAGCTCATTTAACTATGTTACAACTCAACTTTTTTATTCCAATTTTTATTAATTTAAACTTGCTCATGTCCACACAAAATTAATTGAAACTGTGTCCTTTGTGAGCTAAAATTGACATTGGATGGTCTTTTGTGACGATTGTGACTTTAATGATTGTCGAATTATTTTTTCATTGTTAAATAATTAGGTTCAATGTTTGATTTTTTTATTTATACTTTTTATTATTTTTTGGAATTAATGGAAGTTCAATGCGGTGGCTTTGTTGTTTGATGGATGATTTGGATGAGTTTTTTAAAGGTTAAATTTTATTTTTGGAACTGTGATATTTTTTTGAGCAATTGAAAACTTTTGAAACAATTTAAAAAATTCAAAATATACAAATAACATTACTTAATTTTCATAAAACAAACTAGCCTCCTTATTATCCCAATCTAGTCTCTATGTAAACAGTTCTACTAAGTCAGGTGTTAACCTAATCCATTTCTAATGCCTATTATCATCTTTTTATCTCTGTTTTTGTTATCCACGCACAACGCGACATTGAAACTATTTTTTTCTCATCTCATTTTCATTCTCATCTCATCGTAGCCGTAGAAAATATAGAATTCGTATCGGAAGATAAATGATAGTAAAGAAATGAGTAAACAAATAAACAAAAAAAAAAGCTATTACAAAATAGATCGCATCATTGAAATGGAAAAAGTGTTAAGAAATTATTTCTGTTTTTATTTTCATCGTTAAAAAAGAAAGTTTTTTTTTGTGGTTATGTAAGATATTTTTGAATGGGACCCAAAAAAATTTTAAAATAAAATTTCTTCTTTTTTGAGGTGAAAGAAAAACAATAAAAAAATAATGTGTACAATGCAGAAAGAAAGTCGGATGAAATTGATAGTGAAAAATTGATTATGGAGAAAATAAAATGAAACAAAAAAATAATGGGGAATTATTGAAATGGAAATTGGTGGATTTTTGGAGTTGATTTAAACTTTTATTCATTTTTTTAAAAATTGAATTCTAATTGTTTTGAATTTTATTAAAATTATTTAAAATTGGTAAAGGCGTTTTAAAGCTTTTTAACAATTTGAATTGTTAAAAATTTGAAAAAAATATTTTTAATTTTAAAAATTGTTTTTAACATTTAATAAATTTTTTAAGCTACAATAAATTTAAAAAATACCTATAAATAATCAAAAAAAATTAAATTTTTAAATACAATCAACTTAACCTTCAATCCGCATCAAAATTCAAACAATAATTTAAATTAAATTCTATCATTTATTCTTAATTAATTCTCAATACTTTTTCATTCATTTTGCCATGTGCCACATCCATTTGTCCCCCTCAATTCACCATTCAATCCTATTACTTACTCTCAATGATAATGGCAAATCGAGAAGCACAGAAAGGAAAGAACAACATCAATTTATTTCATATTTCTTTACAAATATCCTTCAACTCGCTGCATGAACGTTCGATTATCCTTCATCCTTGATGATTTTCTCATATACAGTCGACATCAGTGCTTAAAATGTGCAATGTGCAACATTCTGTGCACTTTTTTGTTTCTGTGCCAAAGCACTATTTCAGTGACGTTTAAAATATTACATTTATTTTTTGCTTGTTCGCTTTGTCGCTCACCCTCGACTGCCATTCCATCTCTTTCTATCGTCCTCTCTCCCTCTCTCTTACACACAGTAAAAAAAATTATATATAAAGTACATACGGAAGATGTCGGTGAACTGAAAGTGGGTCAAGAGACAATATTTTTTTTTTCATATCGTTGTGTGCTCGCCTTTGCGCTGCTTGCTTGTCATGTAATTGAAGCGCTGCTGAACTGAAAAATATTTTATTTTTTTCTTTCTTTTCGCTTTGCTTCTTTGAGTCGAGGAAATTTCTTGGTGGTGTTCGAGAAATTTCGTACTTTTTTTTCTTCTGTTGCTTGTATAAATGTGGATATTTGAAGAGAAAGAGAAGTAATTGAGGAATGAAGAAAATAAAAGAGTCAGTCAGTCACTCAGTCAGTCATGTAATGTATATGGAAATAGGAGAGACATAGCTGAAGCGTCATGGTTACGAATATCCATGAATGAATTATTGGATGGCTTAAGGACGGATGGAGTTTATTTAGGGCAAATTGGAAGTATAGTTTTAAAATCACGAATACAATTACTTAACATTTCAGTTTGGGCGCATAATCTCAAATTTAGGGAGCATAACCTCAAAGTTTGCGAACATAACCTTAAAATTTGGTGACTTAACCTCAAAACTCAGTAATATAACCTCAAAATGTTCATTAAAGCAATTTTTTTTAACCAAACCTCAAAGTCTGTGTCCTAAACCCAAAGTCTTCAATCTAACTTCAAAATCTTCGATCTAACCTCAAATTCTGTGTCCTAACTTCAAAGTTTGCATTCTAACCTCAAAGTCTACATCTAACCAAAAAGTGAATTTTCAAACCTCAAAGTTTGCAATGCTAACCTCAAAGTTTGTGTCCTAACCTCAAAGTGAGTTTTCCAACCTCAAAGTCTGCCATCTAACCTCAAAGTGAGCACCCTAACCTCAATGTTTACAACCTAACCCCAAAATCAGCATCCTAACCTAAAAGTTTGCAATTCTAACCTCAAAGTACGCAACCAAACCTCAAAGTCTGTGTCTTAACCTCAAAGTTCCCCACAAAAAGACTCAAATCCCCATCATATACCCTCTCATCAACCATACCTCACTCAGTGTACATTATTCCATTTAAATTTAAAATTCGCACTTGAAGCCGTAAGACATTTATCTACAAAATACTCATTACTATTTACTTGTAACTCATAATTTCATTTCTAACCCACAAAAACATATACAGTAACACGCAAATATTGCCATTATTATTATTAGCCATTTTGCAAAAATAAAATAAAGTACGAACAAAATAAAATACTAGAAAATAAATTGACTTCAATGCAAAATGCCAACAAACTGAACGAAAAAGTAACGAAAGAGAGAGAGAAAAAAAATTCCACAAAAGCAATTGGGTCCGATTGTGGCAGATTATGAAACGACCCGAGGAGCTGCTGCATAACAAAATAACCTTCAGTTCATTGAACTCCTCACAAGTCAAGTTGTTGTGTGCCTCACTTATACATCCGTCTTGCTCCCCACTAACACATTCAAACGAGGCAAATTCAATTGAAAAAAGTTTGAGGGATTTTTTTTCTTTATGTAAAGTTTTGCAATCGCTTCTTTTTTATTTGCTGAGGGACACAAGTATATTTTTTTGTTTATTTACTAGTTGAGCTTTGGTGTGTGTGAGTTTGGGGTACTTGTGAGAGATTATTGAGTGTGCTGATTTTCCTTTGGTGCAAGCTGAACATGATCGCAAGGAAATTATAGTTTTGTGAAATGGGATTTTTAAAGGATTAGGAGAATTTGTAAAGAAATTTAAATTTAAAAAAATGGTTTTTGATTTTTTGAAATGGTTTTTAAATTTTTAAAAATGGTTTTTGATTTTTTGAAATGGTTTTTGAATTTATAAAAATTCATTTTGAATATTTAAAATATTTTTGAATTTTTAAAAATGGTTTCTAAATTTTAAAAATGGTTTTTGATTTTTTGAAATAGTTTTTGAATTTTAAAAATGCTTTTTGACTTTTTGTAATGGTTTATGAATTTTTGAAATTAATTTTGAATTTTTAAAATATTTTTGGAATTTTTGGAAAAGTTTTTGAATTTTAAAAATGTTTTTTTTGATTTTTTAAAACCATTTTTGAATTTTAGAAAAGGTTTATGAATTTTTTAAAATTATTTTCGAATTTTTAAACTTTACTTTGAATTAAAAACTTTTTAAAAGTTCCAGTAAATTCCATCATAAAATGTCAAAGACCTTTAACTGAATTCGAGAACGATTCTAGAGTTTTCCATTTAAAATTAACCATTTTTCTACAACAAAAGTCCCAATTTGTTGATCAACAAATCTCCTCTCACATACACAAATTCAATCAATTCCTCAATACCTCAGAAAAGTATTTTCCTCGTTGACTCTCAAAATGCTCACAATAAATGTAAAAAATCCAACACATTCTCAAACTTATTCAACTGAAAATTCACTAGAAATACTGCAAAACTTTTTTCTATTCGTACGAACAGCACACAATCTCATGACTTTATAGTCTGCCTTACCAATACATCCATAAGCTCTTCTCCAACTGCCTCAATTTCCTCACATGCTGACTATGTTGAAAAAAACAGTTTACTTCAGTCACAATCAAAACATCAACGCGATGACATCGAAATTTTGAATGCGGAAAATAAAATAAAAAAATATAAATTTAAAAAAATTATTTTATTTGAAATAAAAGCATGTGAAAAAATAAATGAGAAAAAAATTGTGAAAAATAAAAAAGACTTAAAAGCTTATAAAAGGAACTAAGTTAAAAATTATCAAAGACTAAGTGCATAGTTGGAATTCAATTGTGTTCAATTAAGGAACTAAATAAAGTTTGAGATCAAAATAAATATTTACAAGACTTAAAAATCTAATTTTTTAGAATAAATCCCGCCAAAATATCAAATCAATCAATTAATGGTGATAAAAAAAATCAATTAAATTAGTGAGAAATATTTGAATTTATATTTAAAAATTAAGACTGCAAAAAATTGAGAAAAAAAGTCTTTCAAAAATTTTTGCAAATTGAGTTTTGCAAAAGTGAAAAAAAAATATTTAATTCCGAATTTAAAAAAAAAATTAAAATATGGAAAATTTAAACAAAAAAACCGACTCAGTCCTCATACAAATGCTTCAATCAAAGCCAATCGCCCTTCCATCCACCTCATCAACCCTCGCGCCATCATCACATCGTCATGCGACAAAACGTGCTCAACAATCACAGAGCCAACAGTCGACAGTACAAAAGAAAGTCAGTGCTGTTGATGCGAGCGATGATGATGATGTACTGATCCTCGACGAACCACGTCGTTGGACGAAAAAGCGACGACTACTGGGAAAATATGAGAAGAAATGCTCATCGGGTGGTGAAGATGACTCAGGAACTGAACCAGGATCGTCATCGTCTTCCAGCGGAACGCCAAGTGATGGCGAATTTAATTGTGAATGCGCAAATGACTCAGGATGTGATGATGAGGATGATGAGGAGGTGTGTGATAATAAGGACCATCATAAGGATCATATTGATGAGTTGTGTTGGCAGTTGGAGGAGAATTTTAAGGAAAATAATGTAAGTTTGATGGTTGAATGTCTTGAATAATTTTACGCGGGGTTGACATAACCTCAAAATATTTGAAAATCATAACAATTAAACTTTAAAGAATTATTGTTTGGATTTTAATACAAATTGACACTCTTGAGTTCAATGAACTCCACAACCCGCCATTTTGTTTAACATAACCTCAAAATTTCAATCTAGGAAGCCTAAAATTATGAAATATGTAATTAGATGATCAGTTTCTGTAAGCTAGCTTAATTCTAATATCTTCAAGATTAAGTCTTATTTCCCTATAAAACATAACCTATAAATTATATTAATCTGGTAAAAGTCACCCCCACCCATGGAAAATCCACAACATCCACGCCCATTTCAAGTCCTTTGACCTCAACAAACAAACAATTTCCATTTCCCACCAAAACATAACCTCAAAAATTCCATTTTTTCCATAATCCTTCTTCTTTGCCATCCATCATACGAAATATTACAATAATTATAGACATTTTCATTACCATTTGCGCCATTCGACACGAAAACTACAAATTTTCTAATACATTTTTTGAAGGTTTACGTTCACTAAAGTTTATTGACATGAACTCAAATGGCAGCAATTCTTTTTTTCCTATTTCTACACAAAGATGACGTCAATGTTGGTTGTAAGGACGAACATACAAAGTTGGGTGGTGATGGGGGGTGACAAACTACAGAGATAAAGTACGACTGAGGAAGGAGCATTAGTTGTAGACGATATTGAGGTTATGAAGAGATTAAACTTACAAAGTTACTAAATAAATATGTATGTTGCAAACTGCAGCAGCAAGAGAATGTTGAAAGTTTTCGTTTGTAAATGGAAATAAATGGAGATGGAAAATTGAGCAAATCAGGAAGGTCGACAATGTTGGGTAAAGTTGAATGAACTTTTTGAAGGAGAAATAAAATTTTCTGTGTCATGCGGACTTTTTTTTTGGGGATAAAGCTTTTTCTGGGGATGATGAGAGCTTTTTTTCGGGGATATAAGAGGAAGTTGATGTGGATTTTAGGTGATATGGAGTTATGTGGGGCAGGGTGGAGATGGGCGGAGAGGGATGATGAAGTTAAATGAGCTTTGTGATCGCTTGTATCATTGTTCAATGATTTGAGTCTTTAGTAAGTTGAAGTTAAGAGATAATGTATCATAGTTGACTTTATTCGTCATGTTACAGCCTTATTTGACTCTATGCTTCTCTATAGTAACTGCTTCCTTGCTTTAGTACCTCATATCATCCTAATACTACATTTATGCTTCATAAAACTCCACAATCTCACACTTTCTATTAAAAATTCAAGAAATTCCACACAATTCTTCCAATTCTCATTAAAATTCATCCGTTTATCACAGCCGTGACCCCGTCCAACTCCACCACATCAACCCCTTTTCAAACTATTCACATTTAACATTTTTTTTATCCATTATCTAAAGCGCAAAAGCTTCTTTGAAGGTGAAACTTGCTAGAACATAGAAATCGAGAGCTTTGAACTTTCAAGTGGAAACATTAAAATGTCACGTAGGACGAGGAAAGCGAGGATAAAATTTTCCTTCAATATAATGTGGGCGAGGAGAATTGTGTGCTATGTCGTTGATTTTTTGAGACTGTTAAGTTTTGGAATTAGAATGGGAATTTAGCAGGATTTTTTAAAAGGTCTAATGGGGTGTTTTTGAGGGTTTTGAGTGCCAACAATGCAAAATATGAAAAAATATCTCAATATTGCTGAATAAATCATTTAATAAACCCAAAATCATTGCAAAAGTCACGTCCACATCATCCAGTACAACTCAATCACTACCATACCCCCTCCCCATATATTCATAGCCCCAGCAATGAATCACTCGACTGACTCACCCGTAACAAATTTTATCAACAAGCTCACTTAAATTATTAGGTCAATTCTTATGAAAAGTCTCGAGTAAGCAAAATTTGTGAGTCACACAAAATTTTTATACATTTCTTTCAAATTGTACATAAATGGGGGAAGAAGGAAGCTCGGGTCGTTGAACTCAAATAGCATTCTAAGCTCTCTTACCTTGGAGAGAAAATGTATTTATAACTTTTATGAAATTTTCTTCTTTTCTTTCTTCGTTCTGAGTGGTATGGCATGGCTATGGAATGAATAGAACCAGTGTTGCACTTTTATTTGTCGTTTTTTTGTTGTACAGTTAGGTGCAATGGCAATTGCGAATTGAGTGTTGAGGAACGTGAGTTTAAGGGGGATAAATGAATTGAATTTTAGGTTTCTAAATTTTTTGAATTTTTTTTAAACCTTTTTAAGTTTTTTATTTTTTTTTCAACTTTTTTGAATTTTTGATTTTTTTCTGATTTTTTCAAATTTATTTAAAATTTTTAAATTTTTTTAAATTCAAAAAAAAAATTGAATAAATTTAAGAAGCAACAATAAAATCATAAAAATAAGAAAAAATAAAAAAAACAAATTTTCCCGCCATAACCTACAAAAAATTATTCATAAACTCATTTCCATGTAACCTCAACCCAATTAAAAACCCATTTTAATCCCATAAAAAATAACCGAATTAACTGAGCACACAACGAAGTAGAAAATACTTGGTAAAGTGACGAAAAATTTGTGTTAATGCGAATTTGCTTCTGTTCTTTGTTTTACAATCGTCAACAGACAGGAAAAATTATAAAGTCATTAAAATAATTTCTGGTGTTGACTGGAGCGGTTAGGAATGATTTTGAGGGGGTTTAGGGGGTCATGTCATTGATTTTGATAAAAAAAACTTACAAATAATCTTCAAAATTTTAATCAAAAAATTCCAAAAATTGCAAAATTTCCTTTTAATAATCTAAAATCTAAGTCCACAATCCGAACAACACACTCACATTTCACCCATTCACAATCACACAACCAAATATCTTTCAAATGGAAGAAAAAGAGAGAAAAAAAAATATTAAGAAATAAGAAAAAAATCGCGCACTGAATCATTGAGCGAGTTCGTTGAACCTCAGCGATCGTAGAAAATGACGACGACTTGTTAGATTGTGCAAATGTGCCTCTCTTGCTCACTTAATATCTTGTAACTATGAAATAATAATTGTTTAGATTTTTCAGCACACATATGCAGCATTGCGAATACTAGTTTAATGGCTTAGTAGCTAAGTTAATAAATATTACGCAAATTGAAAAAGAAAATTTTCTAAAAAACAACTCATTTCGTCATACTTTTTATGAATTTTCAATCCACATTCGCTTAGAAAATGAAAATAAATGCGAAAAAAATTAGTTTAATTGCGTGACATAACTTGGGGACTTTTTGGATTTAAGAGGAATTTTTTAAATTAAATTTAAAATTTTTCAAAATTCAGCATTTTTGAAAAATTAAAAACAGTTGAAGCAAAAATTTAAAACTAATAAAAAATTATTTTTTTTTTCAATTTTAAAAACAAAAAAAATTAAAAATTCAACAAAAATTAAAAATTCAAAAAGAAGAGATTAAAATACTCAAACAGAATCCCCAACAGCAAAAAATTACCCTTCAAACTATCAAAATCAAATAATTTTTTTTTTCATTCACAAAATCACATTCACATCCACAACTCATACACACAGTCTTATGCTTACGAAGCCCTCTCACTACTCCGCATATTCGTAAGAAAAAATTGTAAATTTTTATTTTTTTTTCTTTTTCTTTTTGAGCTTATGATGAAAACAACTTTGCTCTACTTAAGGTTCATTTGCCTCGATACTATAAGTTTTTTTTTGTATGTGATTCGCTCAATGTTTCGCTGTTGCTGCTTATGTTGATTATGTTGAAATTGAAAATAGTTTTGCTTTGAGGTGGACAAAATTTTGAATTTTTTGGGGGGTTTTAAGGGTATTTGAGGGGGTTTTAGGGGTGCTAAGGAGGACTTTGAGGTTTTTTGTGGTATTTAAGGCTTCATGGAAGTCATTAAGCGCTGATTAATGTCTGATTGACTGAAATAATCAAAAATTAACCACAATTCAACTAGAAAAGCTCAAATAACACCCCAAAATCCCCAATCAATCCACAAAAATGAATTTTAATCCATAATTTCACTTTCTCACAATCTCGTCTCATTTCACCTCATTTATCTGTTCAAAAACTCACTCAACTGCCATAAAATCACCATAAATTTGCAACAACAAGACCAAAACAATCCAAAACTCTTTTCCCATTGCACACCTGGCCACAAAATCAATGAACTGAAAATTACAAATTTTTCTCCATCGCCAGATTTAAAATTCAACATTTTGTTTTTGGATGAAGAAAGTTAAACAATGAATAAGAAAAAAAAGAAAAATTTACGCAATATTTTTGGTGTGTGCGAGATGTGTGAATGGATAGTCGCAATATAAAATAAAAATGAGAGAAAAGAAGAAGTTTTTTTTTGAGTTTTAAGAAAAGAAAATAAAAAAAGTTTCACTTTCGCTTTTTAAAAATGATTTTTGGCGGTGAATTTTTGATGAGAGTTGATTGTTGATGGTTTGGGTATTTATGGGAGGTCATAATGGGGTCTGTTGAAGTTTATGGGTAATAAATAGGTGTAATGGGGTTTAATTTGATTTTAATCAGAAAATTCGGATGCTTTTGAGGATAATTGATGTAATTTTTATTGAAATTTAAAATTCTAATCTCAAATTTTTCCTAATTTTGATTCAAAACTCTTCCAAACATTCCCCTAAATCCTTCTAATCAACCTCATAGTTCCAATAATCCATCAAAACCACTTAAAACCCACCGCACGGATGCAAAATGACCCCAAAAAAAAATTATAATTTAACAACTTTTACATCACAAAATATGAACAATGCGATTATAAGCCCATTGTCACGTCCAAAAAAAATAAAATCATAACCGAGGTGAATGACTCCGAAACAAAACACAGAAAAAAAATAAAATTAACACACACGAAAATAAAAATGAAAAGAAAAACTTTTCACTTGCGTAATCGACATAAAAAAAACTATGAAGTAAAAATTAAAAATGAACATGGAAAAGAAAAGTGAGATGAGAGAAAAGTGTTGAAATTTTCCTTTCATTTTATGAAATCTTAGGTGAACGATTTTTATTGTTTTAAGTTTTTTTGACAAATTTAAAAAAAAATTCCAAAAAAATCAAAAAGTTTGAAAAATCGAAAACGTCAACAAAAAATGTCAAAAATAAAAATTTTATGATAAAAATTTCCTATTCTTAATAAACAATTTACTAAAATTCCCATAAAAATTCTTATTCTAATTCTAGGGCTTCTTCCGTCGATCGATTCAACAGAAAATTCAGTATCGTCCGTGCACAAAAAATCAACAATGTATGATTCAGCGAGTCAACCGCAACCGTTGTCAATACTGTCGACTGAAGAAATGTATTGCTGTCGGAATGAGCCGAGATGGTGAGTCTTGATTCAGTCATGAATATTATTAAGGATTAGAGACAGTCTTGAAAGAGTTGAAAAACAAAACTTTAGGGTTTAATTTGTCAAAAATGGACTTGATTTTACTAGATTTTTTATTATTTAGATCAGGTGCCTTCACATTATGTGAACTCGTTAAGGTGCCTTCACACTAGGTTCAGATAGGTCCTCAGGCTAGCTTTAAACAAATCTAATTCAGCCGTTTTTACACTAAGTGTTCTAGTTAAGGTGCCTTAACATTAAGTTTCTTGATTAAGGTGACTTTACACTAGGTACAAAAATTAAAAATATTAGATTCAATATTAGCAAACTTTTGTTTAGTCGCCTTCACACCAGTTCAAAAGTTTCAGGTGCCTTCACACTAAGATCGCAAGTTTTACTTGAAATCGCATAAATTTCCATATTTTGAAGTTTTTTGACTCCAATTAGTTACATTTAAAGATATTATTCCAAAAATATCAATTCTAACCTACAAAATTGTCAAAATTCACATAATTTCTAACAACTTTCGCAACTATCAACTCAAAAATCTCATAAGTCTATTAACAAACTCCATCAAAACAATAGCCAAAAGCCTCAAAAAAGTTCATAAACCCTTTCACAAAAAGCCTACAAAAAAAGAAGAAGAAGAAAATTAGAAAGTGAAAGAGAAAATGTCTCTCACGACGTGAACTAAGTCGATAATTATTTATGATAATCTCGCATAATTTTACACACAAAAAAAAATAAGATACAGAAAAAAAATTTCACGCCACATAAAAAAGAGAGCCGAATGGCACGCAGAGTCGACTTATTGTATAATTCATAGTACTGTACAATCTCAATGAATGTCCATGAGACAGTTCGATGACCTGAGCAATGTAGCCTTTTTTTCGCTCGTATATGTATGCCATGTGACGTTGTAGTTGTGAACGAGACATGAGAAAAAAATAATATATAAAAGCATAAATACCCAATAGTATGGTGAACTAATAGTTTGCAGTTGTGCTGTATACTCACTCTACGAACTGAAAATTGTGAAAATGTAGGTCAATTTTTACTCGGTTGTGTATATGGATGTATGTATATATACAGATTGTGTAGTTGAGAGGACTGAGTAATGTGCTTAAAATTTCCTTTCCTATTTTATTTTGCCTTGTTGCTGTTGCTGCTGTCATTGCTTTTTTGCATGGATATTGGAGACTATTGGCGGTATTATGAGGTGCATCAGGGGTTTTAAGGTTAAAATTAGACAATTTTTGAGGTTATGCAGCCATTTTCAAGATGTTCAGAAGCTTATCTCAAGAAATTCACAATAAATAGTCATTAAATTGATTTATTGGCCATTGAGGAGCATGTGATGGGGTGTTATTTACTGGATATCTTAAATCAGATGCTATGGTTTGAGATTTTTGAACAATTAGCTTCCATAAGTCGAATTAAAGCTGATATTTAAAAGCTTAAGAGGTTTAGACCAACAAAATCTAGAAAATCTCATCAAAAACCTCTTCAAACTCACCAATTTCTCACTCAAAACCCCAACATGCCCGCCAAAATCATTCACTGCCCTTAAAAAAATATTTCAAACCTCCAATCTTAATTCACAATTTTTAAAAACATTTCATTTAATATTTCTCATATTTTATTTTGCCATTTTGTTGTTGCAATTATTTTTTCTCTCTCTATGAAACAGTTAAATAACTTCATTATTATGGATGTCGAGGGCACCAAAAGGCAAAAAGAAAAAGCAAAAAAAAAGAGCAACAGCAAAAAGGCAAAATGTGAATGTGAATGCGCTCTAAGCAATTGCTCTACAGTCGCTTATTCGTTCATTAAATAAACAAGAGTCGACGAACTCGAACTGGGTCGGTTTCGTCATTGAAATGAATTGAAATAAAAAATAATAATAATATGTAGTATGTGTGTGTGTATGACTAGGTTTTAATATCAAGGAATATGAAGGAATAGTTTGTTGTTGTTGAATTTTGAAAAAGGGGGGGAAATTGTAGTTTTAAGGTTAGGAAAAATGATTAAAAAATAATTTTCACTTCAAAATTTATTTTTATTATTTTTGAGTTTTTAAGTAACTTTTGCAACTTATTTTATAGAATTTCAATATCAAAAATCTTTTAAAAAAATTGAAAAATTTTTTACAATTTTAAAAAAATGGAAAAAAGATTTTAAAAATTTAAAAAAATTGAAAAAAATTTTAAAAATTTAAAAATAAAGTTTTAAAGTTTGAAAAAAAAATAAAAATTGAAAAAAATTAAAAAAATCAAAAATTTAAAAAACCATAAAATTCATCAAATTAATTCATTTAATAACCTCAAAAAAAACAAGCAATTAACTCATCAAAAATCCACCTCAATTCTTCACTCCAATCAAAAACAGCACCAGTCGTGATCAAGACATCATGCCTGTTTTTCAACCTATTTAAAAATATTTTATTACAATTCATTAAATGACTGAATATTGCACTAATTAATTAACATTTAAAAAAACCTTTTATAGTTCCACGAAATGAAAGAAATAATAGCGAAGCAATTTCATAGAAAGCGAAACTTTTTTTTCTTCAATTTCCTGTCACGTTTTTTTCGCCTTTGCGATAACCTCAAAAAATGTTATTTTTTGCTGACTTTTTCTTCGATTGTGCAAAAATTTAAAAAAATATATTTTGTCATCAAAAATAATTCTTTAAATATAAAAAATGTTTAAAATAGAAAAAAAATTCCTCAAAAGTCCCCCAAAAATAGAAAAAAAATTCCACAAAAATTCATCGCGTGAGTCCCAAAAAAAAGCATACATTGCAAAAATTGTGGGCCACAGGCTGAGAGCTGCTGAGGTTGTTGAACTTTTTGTTTCCCCTTGTACGACACAAAACGTGAAAGTGGGTCACCAAAGCAATGAGCGAATGTATGAGCGTAATAGATGTAGATAAATTGTACAACTTCATACATACGCACGAGCGACTAGATAGATTTCTCGATTTTTGTTGAGGTTTCTGTGTGGCTAAATGTGTCTGTGGATTGTTCATTAAATTTAAGTTTGTGTGCGGACGGCGCACACACAATGAGTGGAGATTGCAATTGAGAGAGCGAATAATTGAAGGTTGTCAGCCTATTTGTGGATTGGCGGAATTATATTTGAGGTTATGTGTCTTAATTTTAGGTTTTTGAAATGACATTTGAGGTTATGTTCATGTTTTTTAGGTTAGATCTTTCAATTTTGAGGTTAGAATTAGAATTTTGAGGTTAATTTGTTCAAAAGTTGAGGTTATGTCTTTAACTTTAAAGATTAGAATTAAAATTGTGAGTTTAGAATCGGAATTTTGCTGTTAAGTTTACATATTTGAGGCTACGCCGTCAAATTTTGAGGTTATGTCTTTTAACTTTGAGGTTAAAATTAAAAATGTTGAGGTTATGTATCACAGTTTTCATCCTAATCTTCATAATTCACCCAAAACTATCATCAAACACAGTAATTTCCACACAACTCAACAAAATGCAGTTCATGGATGTTCATTGACGTCATTACAGTGGAAATCTAAGCTACACAAATTCTCCAAATGTATGTGTGCATGCACATTTCAATGCTTATGTTCTATTCTATCAGATTGAAAAAGTTCAAAGTTGAATGAACTCTCGTTGAGCACATAGAGTCGAAGTACATGAAAGGTTTGTGGGGTGGAAAATCATTTTTCCTTCCGACTCACAAACACAAACATGAGCTCAGATTTTCCTTATTTTTTTACCGGGCAATTTTTGCCTTTCACTTCATATTTTATGTGAAAATCGTGGGAAAATAATATTTTGGAAAATTGGGGATAAAAAGGTTTTTTGGGTCAAACGTGACTGCTTCATTTTTTGGGGTGCGCTTCGGAAATTGTCTTTTAATTATTCGTGTTGTTAAATTGACATTTAGGATTAATTTTTGGTATGAGTGGGTGTCATGAGGTAGTCATGTGAGCTTTTGTGCCTCAAACATCACTTAATGTCTCATATAATCCTCTGGTTATGCAGGAACATACATTGTATGATGTTATATCTATAATAGCTATAGATTATTGTGTTATGACTGTATGGCAATGTAAATTGCATGATAATAACATGTCGCAGACATGCATGAATGGAAGAGCTGTTATGTATGTAAATATGAAGATTAAGACATGCAATTGTGGGTTTTAATGATACAAGTTCAGACATTTGAAGCTTAAATTTGCCATAAAATTAAAATTTTACAATTTGCCATCAAATTTCACCTAATTAAGAACCTTAATAGCTTCCAAAATCATGAAAATACGTGATAAAAGTCAAGTCAGCCCATCTGTTCCTAATAAACAAAGTTATAAGGTTTCCAATAAGGAATAAGTCATGAAATTCAAAAATTATATCAGTTCCTTGAAATTATCACGAATTAAATGATAAAAGGAACAATAAAATTGAATTAATTATTACAATAAAGTAAAATTAAGGCTCAAATGACTTTTAAATGAACGTCCTCGAATCGAAAAAATTGGAATTAAAATTCATGACTTTTAAAATTGGGACAATTTTTCTTCAATTTTTCATGACAAAAAAAAAGTCATGATTTGGTGAAAATTAAAAACTGTGGTCAGGAATTGTTGGACTTAATTTCCACAAAATATTGATAATTATTTTTAAAAAAATTGTAAGCAAAATGGATTATGAAATACTTTAAAATTGCAATTTAATTTTTTTTTATTTACAAAATAAACCACAAAAAGTGAACGAAATTTTGAAGGTTGAGCAAATTTCATTTTAAAATTTATGAAAAAAAAAAGCATTTGAAAAAAATAATAAGTTGTTAAAACAATTAAAATTAACAATAACAGTCTCAGAAGATTTAAAAATCACCACACAAATTTATCTTAAATTCAAAAGTCTTAATAAGAAAAAATGAAAAAAAAAAACACTCAGCAAAGCACAAACAAAAAAAGCTGAATGGAGAAGAAAATCTCCACAATTGCGTGTTTTGCCATC